TTAGACATTAATGAAATAAGCCTCATGGTGCCCCATTGTAGTCGGTATTGTTATTCTAATTTTTAGAGATGAAAAAAGTGAGGCAGAGAAAGGTTAAGTAACTTGGCATTTGTGGCATTAACAGAAGAGAAGGTTACTAACCCTGTGCAGTAACTGAGGCTCTTCGAGATGTGTCCCTGTGGGTCTTCCACTGTGGGTGCAGTAGTGCCCCGTCCCTGGGATTGGAGATCTTTGGTAGCAGAGCCTATTGGACAGCACGTACGCACCTCTCCGTCTTGCGCCATGAACGGCATCTATATATATCGGTGTGTGGTTCAACCGCCCACACAGTTCCTTCTCTGCTGGAGAGCTTATCTTTCAGCTCCAAAGCAGAGAAGATGAGGGCAGGTAGTGCACCCATAGGGACACACATCTCAAAGAACCTCAGTTACTGCACAGGGTGAGTAACCTCTTCTTCTTCTTCTTATTCTTCTAGTGAGGTGTCTATGGGTGCTTCACTGTAGGTGACTATAAAGCAGCCCCTAATTGAAGGGCTGTGGCTTAATTAATACAGATGATAGAACAGTGTGTCTTAGTAGGGCATCTGATGCTATGTCATGACTAATCACGCAGAGATGGCTAAAAGTGTCTGCAGATGCCCATGTGGCTGCTTTGAAAACGTTGAGAAAGGCAATCGACGTGGCAAGAGACCAAGTGGAATGTGCTTGAGTTCCAAGAGGAGGCTGTCTATTGTGTAGGTGGTGGGAGAGGTGTATACTCTGCAACATCCACTTGGAAAGACATTGTTTACAAACAGCCGTGCCTTTCAATCTTTCCACCGTTGACAGGAATAAGAGTGGTGACTGTCTGAAAGGTTTAGTTCTGCCCTGATAAAATGCAATGCCACCTCCTGCTGGTTGCTGTTTGGTTTTGAAAGAAGCAGGGAAGGTGGATTGATTGATTTAGATGGAAGGAAGATGGTATTTATTTTGGTATGGACATAAGGTAACCTTATCTTTATTAAAAATTGTGTACAAGAGTTATGCCATGAGCACGCCAATTTCTCTTACCCATCGAGCAGAGGTAATAATGACAAGAAATGCTGTTTTCATGGATAAATGAATACCAGAGCACATTGCCATTTGAACCAATGGCAGTCTAGTAAGGGAGCAAAGTACCAGGCTGGGGTCCCAAGCTGGGGGTCCCAAGCTGGAGTGGGATCCCGTATGTGAGGGTAAAGATTTTGGAGGCCTTTCAGGAATCTTTTCATGAATGGGTGGGTGAAAACAGAGTGGCTGTCCATACCAGGGTGAAAGGCCATGATGGTGGCTAAGTGTACATGAAGGGAGCGGGTGGATAATCCCAATCCTTTAAGATGTAAAACATAACCTAGGATGAGCGGTAAGGGGGCGTTCATTGCATTGACATGGTTGGTGGAAAATGCCCTATGAGAAGCTAAAACTAGAAAATTGTAACAAACCTCTCTCTGTCATACATGTCTTGCCATACTACAGTAAAAGCCTCCAGTCCTTAACCTTTCACACACACACACAATATCTAATTATCCTGAAGCAAAAAACACTTTATATATATACCAACAGGTTTCAACTGAACTTGGATCAAATTAGCTTCATGTGATAATTTACTTCAGACTAAATCTGTTTAAGCATGATTTAAACTGGTGTATGTTTGTTTATATTAGATGTTTCTTCCAGGGTAATTAAATCAATTTATTAACCTCCGTGCAATTTTATTTTACAGACAAAATTTTACATATGTTAGAAGAAACATTAAGGAAAAAAGTCCCTAAACTCTGTCTTGGTCCACACCTTTGTTTTTATTGGGAAGAAGAGGAAAGTTAATTTAAGGTTTTTGTCTAATTGTGACCCAATTATATATACATAAAAACTATGCTCAGAACACACACGCTGCATGAGATTAAAACATTCTGCCATTAGCCCTTTGTAAACTATCAGTAAGGCTAGGATTTGGTCACAGAGGTCGCAGAAGTCACGGAACCCGTGACTTCCGCAGACCTCCATGGACTTCAGTCCACAGTGGCTGGGAGCTTCAGGGTACCCCCATCTCCCCTGGTGGCCGGGAGCTGCGGGGTACTCCTGCCGCCGAAAGTGGCAGGGATCCCCAGAGCTCTCCAGTCCCCATGGGTGGCAGGGGATCCCCAGCAGCTCCTCAGCTGCCACCGCTGTCCTGTAGTATCACACCCAGCCTCTAAGAGGCACTTACAAGAGGTGAGTGTCCCCCGTTATACCAGGGTTCTACCCAACAGCTAACTTATTTAAAAGTTTTGTTAGATAACACAGAGGGAGTTATTTCTGTAAATCGAACAGCTGGAGTTAGTTTAACCTCAGCAACTGATAGCTAAAGCTACGATTTTCTCATAGACATTTTTAGTAAAAGTCATGGACACATCACGGGCAATTATTAAAAATGTCCATGACAAAATGGGGAGGGAGGAGGGTTGAGCACCCTGCCCTACTGTGGCTGGGAGCTGTGGCTCCTGCCCTGTGGCTGGGAGGGACACCCGCCTGTGGTGGCTGGGGAGCTGCGGGGGATCCCCAGGAGCTCCTCAGCTCTTCAGTGTCTTTTCCCTCCAGCCAACTCACAGAATCAAAATGAATGAACCCATTCCGGTGTAGCCAAGAGTTCAACAAACTGTTGGTCCTCACCAGAGTCTTCAGCCCCATCTCTGGGCTCTTTAAATCCCACCCTTCACTCAGGCTTCTAAACAAGCTTTGTCCCCTTTTCAGGGCTTAGGTCACTTCCCCAGTGACTGGTGGAGGAACCCAGGCCCACCCACTATTACAGTTCCCAACCCAGGGACCTTATAAACAGCAGCCATGTACAGTATTGCTTCCTTTAAGCCCATCAATGAGTTGCTGCTGCCTTCTTTGGGCCTCTTCCCATCTAGTCCCTTTAATCCTAAGGGAGGTAGAAATTTCAGGTCCTCTCTCTTTTAGGTCTAGTAAAGGCAGCCAGTCAAGCTCCTGTGGCCAGAGCAGCACACCCTTCCTCACCCTTCTTGTCCCAGCCAGGAACTGATCACCTCAGGCCCTGCAGCTCCTTTTATCTCAGCATATTGGGCTCTGATTTTATGCTTCCGTGCAGCCTTTCTAGGTAGGCCTGGAGGACCCACCTTTGCTGCTCCTTCCTGGGGGGAAGAGGAGGATATAGTAGGATTGATGGGCCTCCAATAGAGGACCACAAAGGGCCAGGTACACCCCACACACCTGAATACTTCTTCCAAATTATAATTACAGTATTCACTTTGAAGCAAAACACTGGAATTACAGTTCCAAAACTATTTCCTCTATACCCCCCATTTTCATTCTCACAACTTTTGAGGCATTTTTAATTTTTTAACTAAAACCAAAGTTTTTGAGTGCAGGAATTTGAGGTCAGTTTTTGCACATGTGTGCTCTGGGGAAAGATAGAGCAAGAATTCTGAGGATCTGCCTGTTGTGTCTTCCCCTGCCAGCTGCAATTGAGGCTTTCCCCATTTTGAGAGGAATATCATCTCTACCCAGAATGCCAGGTCTGACCTCAACTCCATACAGTTGAACAGAAGGAAACCCATAGGAATGGCAAATCTAGATGACAGATAAATGTGTTTCCTGCTGAGAAGTTGTTGCCACACTTAATTCCCTCCACATATCATTTAATACAGACAGACTTTTGAATTTAAAGCATCAAGAGTAGGGCGCCCTTTCACAAACATGTTTGATGACAGTCCCTGCCCTGAAGAGCTTACTCAAGATATAAAATGTAATTAGGACCATTTAAATGCTACCATTAAGCACAAGCAATTTCTCTTAAAAAAAAAACACAAACACACACACACACAAACACTAAGCTAAATGCAACACATCTAGGTTAATTCAATACTGAGGTTACAGTAAAACAAAAAGTAAGGAACTCAGAGATTCAACACCAGCATTAGCTTATCCACCAGACATATATATGGTATTTTCTATTTGTTTTTCTGGTTAAATGCATAGTTTAAAATATTTCTATTTGTCATAGAATGGACACTAGAAAATACACAAGCTGGGCAATACCGCTGTTGCCAATTAACTTTTGCAGTATGGGCTTCAATAGGACTTGCCAAACTCATGAAGACAGCTTTAGAAGTTAGAAGTACATTTGCTGAGAATACTTTAGATTAGAGATTCTTGCTTGAGTTAAATTCTGTAGCAACACAGAAGAAGAAATCTTCTTAGAAGTAAACAGATATAAATTTTAAGCGAAGAATTTGATAAAGAGTCTTTTGGTCGCTAAGAATCTTAAATCCTCAATTCATAGTTTTCTTAGATATTAGTTTGTGCTTAAGTAATAATTGTTCGATAAGGTGGGGCATAATACAATTTTTTCTGTAGCACACCTATTTGATATCATAAAATAGTAGACATTTGTATAATCGTAATGACTAGAGGTCTGGTTGAGTTAGGTACTGTACAAACACATTGTAAGAGACAGTTGGAGACAGCGTGGTTTAGCATATGGAACACTGGACTGGTGCTTAGGAAGCCCCAAGGTCTATTCCTAACTCTGCCACTGATCTGCTGTGTGACCTTGAGCAACTCATTTCATCTCTCCAAATCTCTGTTTCCCTTCTCACCCTTTGTCTATCTTGTCTATTTAAACTGTAAGAAACCTCTTAAGGGTCTCTCACTGAGAATTTGTACAGTATCTAGCACAATGAAGCCCTAATATTAGTTTGAGCCTCTGAGCACTACTATAATGCAAGTCATTAATAATAAACTTGTCCCTATCCTAAAGAGCTTGCATTCTAAATGGACAAGTATTATAATATGAACTCAGACCACAGACACGGTGTGAGTTATTTTATCTGGAATTTGTGTCAGAATGCCCTAATAAGACTGGTCTTTGTCTAGGGATTTACTCTAAGTATAAAATCACCTGGTACCTAAAAGGCTTGAAGTCACAATGTGAGAAGCCATTATATTAAAACCTCTGGCTAGAAATTTATTTTTAAAACTTACTTTATCCCTCCCAATAGGAAGTGGCATAGCTGTATAAAGGTTTTTTCTTCCATCAAATACTGGTTTACGATCCCCAAAGATCTGTGTTTTAAAGTGCTGGACCATATGCTCAACTATTTCTCTGAAAATATAAAGAAAATTAAGTTATCACAATTTGAACAGAGTACCAAAAAAACCCCAATATGTTTATGTAATCAAGAGGAAACAAAAAACAATGGCTGCTACATGAAGGGTTATCAACAACTCAGCATGAAAGATCATATTCATTTTATTCATCTGAAGAGACAACGGAAGTTGATTTTGTTCTATGAAATTTTCTTTGCATAAACTGTTTGTTTCTTGGGACTACTAAATTTGATCCTGATTTCTCATTGGAAAGTTTATAGCCCCAGTGTTTTACCTACTGTTTATTCTACGAGACAGAACACGTACGTAATATAAGCTGCTCTTCTCCATGGCTCTCATCTGCAGAACACAACTGATGGGCTAGGCAGCAGGACAGCATTGGGAAAGGAAGAATTAAGGCGAGGGAATGATTTGGGTCTGTGCACAATGTATACACCAAATTCCTCTGCATCACACTCAAATAACAATCTTGACTCTGACCTCTACTCCTGGTAGAATTCTGCACCACTGGGCATGCGGAGAATTTATGTCCCCCCGTAGATTTCTTTGCTTCCCCACAGAAAAAATAAACTTTCTGATGGGAAAGCAAAGGGAAGTCTCAAAAGCAGTCATGCAACCCTCCTCAGCAGTATATTTTGGGTGCCCAGGGCAGCCGGCAGAGAGGTAAATCACTGTGGGGCAGAGGGCAGGACTGGGGAAGACCCAGCTGGTGGCTCCTAGCCTGTGCCGGGCTTAGCTGCTAGTCCCTGCTGGGCTGGGGAGGACGGGACTTCCTCTTCCCCTGCACAGCATCTGGGGCTGTGTTAGACCCACCCCTAGATTTCTCCCCCAGCTGTAGGAAGCTCTGCAAACTCTTCCCCCTCCTTCCCTGCACCCAATCGCTCCTCAGCTGCAGGGGGAGGGATCACTGTACAGTGAGCTGCTCTCCCATCCGCCCAACCCCCAAGCATCCGGATCCCCTCATACCCAGACCCTCCCGATGAGCCTCCCTGCAACACTCAGACACCCCACGCCCCCTGCTGGGCTCCAACCACCTTCACCTGGACCCCCCTGCAGAGTCCCATTACCACTGCACCCAGAACCCCCCCACCCCAACAAGCCCCTATGCATCCAGATCCCCCCCACACACACACACACCTGGATCCCTCACTGGGCCACCCGCACCCAGACTGCCCCACACATAACCTTCTCAATCTACACCTGGATCCCCCCACACTAAGCCTCTCCACATTTGGATCCTGCCTTGCTGAGCCTGCCTGCCCACACTGCTACACTTGGCACAGAAGGGCATGGCTCTGGGGCAAGCCGGACCTTGTGCGGTGTCAGGGTTGGGTGCAGCATCACCGCTGGGTCCACGTCCTGGGGGAAGCTACACAGAGATCTCCCACCTCTGTGCAGTCAGTGGCCTGTGCTCCCCAATACCATGATGGAGCCTCCACATTTATTTGACAAATAAAATTTGCAGAATTTTAAAATATTTTGCACAGAATTTTTTGGCACAGAATGCCCTCAGGAGTAGGTGAGCTCGTACTTTTTCATGTAACAACAGCATTTACCAGTACATATAACTATTAAGACTACAAATTAAAAAGTGTGATTGGAATTATAGGTTGTGCATTAGAGTATGATGCAGAGGAATTTGGAATGTGTATTGTAGCTGGTTATATGTCAGATATGCAAATGAGTTTGTAGTGGAATTTGTAGTCTATTGGAATTATTTTATTCCAGACATCTGGGTTTAAATCTCTTGAAGGACATCACTGAGACTATAAGTACATTTAAGTTGAAATCCATGAGGCACTTCATCTTGAAAATCTAGTTAACATGGGAGGTACACAGTAGAGTGGTATGTGCCAGTACAAAACCCTAAGACAGAAGTCTGAGTGCGTTTAAGTAGTGTGAAGAATGAATATTGCCTTAATTGGTGATTTCCTTGACATTTCATAAATTTAGATTTTTTTAAGGCAAGAAGGGACCATTTTTATTATCAAGTCTGCCCTCCATAACATAGACAATAAAACTGCACTCAGTAATTTCAGCATCAAACCTGTAACTTCTGATTTCGCTATGACATACTGTTTTAGAAAGATAACCACTTTGATTCCTCTTATCTCCTCCAAAGAGACCCTCTTAGATTTAAATACTTCAATAGAGAATCCACTACATTACTAGGTAAATTGTTCTGATGGTTAATAACACTCACTATTACAATTTTATGCCTTATGAATTTCTCCAACTTTGTCTTCCAACCATCTTTCGTAGTGGTGTCCATGGGATTTGGGGTTGAGCAATATTAACTGTAAGCAAATTAAGTTTTCTGTTTGAGTCTGAAGCAAAAATTCAGACTTCACTAGGTTTGTAAATAAATTCTTTTTTCTTCCCACGCTGCATTGGGAAAACAGACATAGCGTGGAATTATGAAAAGTGCAAATAGGATCTTCATTTCCAGTAAATGGTGTCTCTTCATCCAGGTTCTTACAATGGCCTTCATCACCGTATCATGATGGCTACTGATGAGTAAAGGCAGATCTGAGCAAACAGTTATATGTATTCAACATTATACTGGTAAGCAACTACCTGTTGTGAACATGATTTTCCCTGATCTGCACTGACGTGGTCACTATTACGTCAGTTGCCAAGATTCTTCATAATTTTTAAACAACCTCCACTTAGATTTTTTTCAAGTACTCTCTTACACTGTTGCAACTCCACTGAAATCAATAGAGTTGCACTGGTGGAAGAAGAGAAATTGGTCCAATGGAGTTACTACACAGTGTAGATCTTAGCCCATTATGTTTGTTTTTAAGTTAAATACAATTTTTAAACGGTTTTTAAAATATTACATTTAAAAATAATCCAACAGAGCAGGAAGATGCAGTATAGAACAGCTATTTGTATTCCATGCATGTTAAATATTGTCTAATAAGAGTGCAGTTAGGTTAAAAAAAATTCTACATTTGTAAGTTGCACTTTCATAACAAAGAGATTGCACTACAATACTTTTAACAGGTGAATTGAAAAATACAATTTTTTTTGCTTCCCTGGCCATCAGTAATTTGCAAAATTGATCCATACCTTTTTGGCCTCGCTATCTGTATTCACTTGCATATCTTCCATTAATACAGAAGATGATGGAGGGTAATTTCTTACCTGTTATAATTTAGTTTCTCCAAAGTCCTCTTATACCAGCACAGACAAATGGGTTTACTTCCCCCTGTCAGTAGGTGAAGACAGGAAAACAAGTTGTTGGTAATATCACCTCCCCTTTTAAGGGGCTTGCTAGCTGACTCCACTTAGTTATGAACTAAGCAGTAAACAACAATGGTCAAATTCATAGCTTGTACAAACTGGAATAACTCCACTCAAGCTAATGGAGTTTTGCCTGCTTATGCCACCAGTAATTTTGGATCAAAAGCTGAAAACTTCACTCAAAATAAGCTACAACCACCACAAAAGTCAGGTGGGATTTCTAGGTTGGTACAGGAAGACTTGGAGAAACCAAACTAACAGAAATAATGCTTGCTGATAGATATCACAAAGCAGGATGTATTCAAATGGGAAGATACTACCACATCTGATGAACAACAAGGATATCCATGTCCCCAGGTGCCCTAAGTGAAAGCTTGTACAGGACCCTAGCTTCTTAAAAGTTCCTCTTTTTTAAAAGTGTAAATGGAGGGAAAACATAAATAAAACTGGGGGAATGCAAAGTATAACGATATTACCGGTTAACTCTTCTTGGGCATTTCTCTGGCTTTATATCCAATTCATAATGGTAGATATCAATTTTAGGAATGTCCATTTCAAAGAAGTTGGCCTGTAGTTTGATTGTTCTTCCAGAAGTACCAAAATCTGGTCGAGGAGGAGGTTTAAAGGCATATCCCTGTATTGGTGGTGGCAATGGTGGAGGAGGTGCAAGCACTGAAAGGGGGGGGGGGAGGGAGAGGGGGAAAAAAAAAGCACAAATTAAAATATCCATCACAAAAATTATCCACATTAGGTACATGCAGTGAGAAGAGTAACACACACACACAAACAAGTTCAATACCATTTTAAAAATGCATTTTTAAACCTAGTCTTCATCCCTTGCTTTTTTTAAAATAGTGAATTAACAGAGGAAAACCTGTATCCTGGGCTGGAAGCCAGCAAACCTGGACTCACCTGTTCCCCAACTGATGTTAACTACTCTGTATATTTCACAACCCTTTTTACTGAACAAGGCCACAGGAGGTAGGTTAGCATTCTGTCCTTTTACAAGTGAGTTAACGGAGCACCTGGGAAGCTAAACAAGAACTTCTTTAAGGGCTGGAACTAGGACCCAGTTGTCTAATATGGAGAACCTAAAGCTCATTACTTAGCCACAATGCTCCTCACAAAATTAGTATGCTAAATCTTTTGTGCTTGGCTTCAGTATTTGCTAAACGGAGCTACGCCCAAATACTCAAGCCAAGCACAAAGACCTCGCATTCTGAACTACATTAAAAATAGTAGTTAAGGTTGCAAACCTAAGGGTTAAAAAATGCCAGGAAATGCCAGAATTCAGGTTTTCTGTACAGACTTCTAATGTGACATTGGACAAGTCACTTAAACCTAAACCTTTAAAAGGAGATTTAGGCACCTAAATCAGGCAGAGTGCTGAGCGCAGCAATGCCTAAATACCTTTAAGGCCCAGATTTTTAAAGCAAAAGTTTCTGGAGGTAGCCACTGTGCGCGCCTCATTTTCTGGATGAGGATTTGAGACTCAAAAGACCTAATTTTCAGAAGCAGAGAACACAACTCCTACTCTTACTGGGAGTTAGTGTAAACTGAGGTTACTCAGCACCTCTCAGAAACAATTAGGCCACAGGTGTCGCTGTCACTGAGGACCCAACATTAGCAAATTTTGGCCTTAATCTGTCTCTCAGCTCCTCAGTTGTAAAAGGGGAATAACTTCCTACTTCACAGGAGTGTTATGAAGATAAATTAATTAATGTTTGAGACACCAGATACTATGGTGATGAGCACAATACAAAAGTACAAGAGGATTTTTTTTTTAAAATGTATTCAGGTGCAGCTTTTGAGGCCACATATTCAGTGATGAGGATAAGAAGAAATATTGAATAGATGCCTGTTGCAGTGAATGAAGCAGAGGTTCCTGTGAAAAAGATATGTGGTTGTGTAATCAAAGTGTTATAATTAATATATATGAGGGGGCATAATTAAGGTTACCCAGGCACAGAGAACATAATCCCTCACCCTACATTTTTATAAATTATTGTTTAATGAATTAGAAATGGCTTCCCTTTTTACTGTAGCATAAAAATGAAGACTGAAGAAAAAATAAGACAGGTCATTGCTCAAAGGAGATAAGTAATGTTTATTAAACAGCAGTTTTAGCCTGGGAAGCAGCTAACCTATATGAAAATAGATACACATGGTTTAGCTTTACCACCAACAGATGGGAATTGACTTTTCTTTTGGGGAAAAAAGATTGAAAACAGTGATTTAAAGAAATTTTTTAGATTACTGCTTTAAATGAAGAATTTAAAACCAAGATATCCTGTGCAAAATGCACTACAATAATCCAGTCTGGAGCTGACAGGAAATCCAGCCATAAAAGAGCCCTAATTTAAATACTAAAGTAAGCCAACTTTGATTAATAAGGTGCTAGTATACTGTCCCCAGTAAAAAGAGGAGTTTATTATGAAAAAACACAGAAACCAAATTTGACCTTTCTACAATAGTTCATCTAGTCTCTGGAAACCAAAAGATTCACACCTATCAATGTCTAAGTGCTGTAGTTTCTGTGGAAAAGGGAAGCGACAGACACTAGAATAGCGTTAGCTACATGGCCCATTTTAAAAGCCATAGGACACTTCAGATTACATTATTCCACAAAAAACTGCTATAATAAAATTGAGCAGCACACAAATTACAATCAACATTTAGGAATCCTACTCTAACCCAAAAGACAGACTTGAGGTAGATTTTCTTCCACCCCAATTAAAATGGAAACCCTGGTGCAACCCTAACTGTGGTGGCACCACCACTCCATCAGAATCTTGCTGCACAACGCGAGAGCCAGGAGTAGAGTTAGGGGAACACACTGGACTCATGTGTTGGCCAAGAGGTTCCCAGTATACAGTGCCCCACGACATGAGCTGCTTTTACATATTCAAAATGCTCTAAAATCCACAGGTATACGGAGATTAGTACATACTGACAACAGTTTTCAGAGGTGTGAACTCATCCATTCATCTTATAAGGTGTTCTCCTCCCCATTCCAAAAAGTCTACCTTAGTCCCTGGCGTTGAATACTCATTTTCGAGATAATCTTGTACCTTAAATTTGTGTCTTTAAACCCAGGAAGTACAGAGTTATTTCACCTTAATTAGTTACTTCCTGGTTTCCAGATGTTTAAATACTGGTGCCTTCGAGGTCTGAGGAACTGCTGGTCAACCATAACTCTGCATTAAATGTGGTTTTTGGCAATAAATTACTCCAATTTCTGTGTTTAGACATGACCTTAGTTCAATTAGAAAGGTTCCAAACTAGTTATGCCTAAGGGCATGTCTACACAATGAAATTTATCTGAATAGTTATTGTGTCAGATATGGCAATTTCCTCTAACATCCTGGGCAAATCTTATTAAGTTAAGCATTATTCTATTAATTATAAGTATTTTAGTTCAATATATTAAAAATGCAAATGCTGATGTATTATGGTGGAATCATATGCAACTTCTTCATACGCAGGACTAATGTAAACCCTGGCAAGTGTTATGAGTTTCAGAGAACTCTCTTAAGGCAAGATCAAATTTTCAGTTGAGTAAGTTTACTAGGAAATACTTGGGAATGCAAATTACCCATCTCTGGACCCATCCTTTTGAAGCTGAAGGAAGTGCCCTGCGGAAAAACCCATTGTCTGCTAGCATCTGTTAGGTGAGAAAAGATCAAAGGCCTGATCTACATTAGGAAATTAGGTCAATATAACTATGTTGCTCGGGCATGTGAAAAATCCACACCCCTGAGCGATGCAGTTAAACCAGCCTAACCCCAGGTGTAGACAGTGCTAGGACGATGGGAGAATTCTCCTGTTGACCTAGCTGCCACCTCTTGGAGAGGCTGAGTACCTACACTGATGGGAGAAACCCTCCTGTCAACACAGATAGTGTCTTCACTGTAGCTATGCAGCTGTGCTGCCGTAGCAGTTTATGTGCAGACAAGCCCCAAGACTTGAATGAGAAACAGAAGGAAATCTCAGATTCATGGGCATACTTGTTCTGAGCTAACAGCTATTCCGAATTTGTGACAACAGAAAAACCCCTAGGTGGGGTCTGAAGGACTTTTCACCAGCCAGAGCCCTTATTGGAGTCAGGGAGTGATATCTGGTAACCTTATTAAAAGTGTGTGTAGATTCTTATTGTTTTTAATATGTTTTCTCTAACGCTTTTACCTTAAGAATATGTAATATAATTTATGGAGAAGATAGTATGATGGGATAACATGATTTTGGCAATTAACTGATCTTTAACTATTCATGATAAATAGGCCCAATGGCCTGTGATGGGATGTTAGATGGGGTGGGATCTGAGTTACTACAGAGAATTCTTTCCTGGGTGTCTGGCTAAGGAGTCTTGCCCACATGATCAGGGTTCAGCTGATAGCCATATTTGGGGTTTGGAAGGAATTTTCCTCCAGGGCACATTGGAAGAGGCCCTGGGGTTTTTTTTTTCCTTCCTCTGCAGCACGGGGCGTCGGTCACTTGCTGGAGGATTCTCTGCACCTTGAAGTCTTTAAACCATGATTTGAGGACTTCAATAGCTCAGACGTAGGTGAGAGGTTTATCGCAGGAGTGGGTGGGTGAGATTCTGTGGTCTGCATTGTGCAGCAGGTCAGACTAGACGATCATAATGGTCCCTTCTGACCTTCATATCTATGAATCTATAAGAATGGCCATACTGTGTCAAGGATCCCCCTAGCCCAGTATCTAGTGCTCCAGAGAGAATGAACATAACAGGTCAGTTATCAAGTGATCCATCCCTTGTCATCCAGTCCCATCTTCTGGCAGTCAGAGGTTAAGGAACACCCAAAGCATAGGTGGCATCCTGACCATCTTGATTGACCAGCCATTGATTGACCTATCCTCTGTGAACTTGTCTAATTAGTTTTTGAACCCACTCACACTCTTGGCCTTCACAACATACCCTGGCAACATGTTCCACAGGTTGACTCTCTGCGTTCTATTTGTTTTAAACCTGCTGCCTATTCATTTCATAGGGTGACCTCTGGTTCTTGTGTTATGTGAAGAGGCAAATAACACAACCTTATTCAGTTTCTCCACACTATTCATGATTGTATAGACCTCTATCATATCCCCTCTTAGTCATCTCTTTTCCAAGCTGAATATTCGCAGTCTTTTTAATCTCTCCTCATATGGAGGCTGTTCCACATCCCTAATCATTTTTGTTGCCATTCTCTGTACCTTTTCCAATTCTAATATATCATTTTTAGATGGAATGACCAGAACTACATACAATATTCAGGGTGTGGACATATATAGTGGTATTATATTTTCTGTTTTATTATCTAGCCCCTTCCTAATTGTTCTTAACAGTGTTAGCTTTTTTGACTGCTGCTGCACATGGAGCAGATGTTTTCGGAAAGCCATCCATGACTCTAACCCTTCTTTCTTGAGTGGTAACAGCTAATTTAGACCCCATCATTTTGTGTATATATAGGTGGGATTAAGTTTTCCAATGTGCATTACTTTGCCTTTATCAACACTAATTTTCATGTGCCATTTTGATGCCCAGCTGCTCAGTTTTTTAAGATTCCTTTGTAACTTCGCAGGCAGCTTTGGACTAACTATCTTGGGTAATTTTGTATTGTCTGCGAACTTTACCACCTCAATATTTACCCTTTTTCCAGATTATTCATGAA